CCCCCCAGGATGGAATCCACGGAGAAGTGCGAGGCCGTCATCACCCACTTCAACGGGAAATTCATCAAGACCCCCCCGGGGGTGCCAGGTGGGCTCGGGGGGTCCCGGGTGGGCATTTTGGGGGTGCAGGGGCTGGTTGGCAGCACTGACACCCCCTCCCCAGCCCCCCCAGACCCCCTGCTCTGCAAGTTTGCTGATGGGGGGCAGAAGAAGAGGCAGAGCCAGGGCAAGTTCGTGTCCAACGGCAGAGCCTGGGCCCGGGACGGCGACACGGTGAGGGGTCACAATAAAATAAAAATATTTCTTAAATATTTTATTGTTTGTTCTAAGTTTTATTCAAAAGTGAAGTGTTTAGATTGAATTTTTGAAGAAGTATTTTATGAATTAGAAAATTTTAGTTTAGTAAAAAAATATTATATAATCAATATATTATTTAATATTATATTTTATATTTATAGCTTACATATATAAAACTTATGTACTTTCATTTCCTAATATATTTCTAATTTTATCTACTATTTTCTGTTCTAATATGTTGTAACATATTTCCTGTTTTTATTTATGTAGTTACATTTATGTAAATACATATTTATTGATTATTTCTCTTAAGAAATATAATATATATATAATTTATATAATATGTAATATATTACATTATATATTATATAAAATATTCTATATTGTATATTATATACACTATAATTATACATATGTTATAATTGTATATAATGTTATATATATATATGTATGTTATATATAGTATATTACATTTTATATATTACATGTTATGTACAGTATATTGTAATTATATATAATATTATAATTGTGTATAATTTATATAATACATATAATATATATTATGTGTTATACATTATACATTATATATTTATATTGCATTTATATTATATAAAATATAACTTTCATACTATTTCTGTAGAGAAACGTGAGATATAATTAATAAGCATACACATATAAATATAAATAAACATTAAAATAAAAAATAGCCATTTAATTAATGAATTAATTAAAGACTCAATTAACCAATTAACATTTGTGACCCTTTTTTCCCCTCACAGGGCACCGTGACCTTGGCCTACGACCCCTCCACGGCGCTGCAGAACGGGTGGGTGCCCCAAGGCCCCCCCGGGCCCGGCGGGTCGGGGGCTCCCGGCCGTGCCCCCCCCAGCCCTGACCCCCCGCCCCGCAGGTTCTACCCCGCGCCCTACGGGCTGGCCCCCGGCCGGATGCTGCCCCCCGCCGCCCTGGCCCCCTACCTGCCCTCCCCGGTGTCCTCCTACCAGGTACGGGGGGTCCTGGGGGAGAGGGGGGGCCTGGGAGAGAGGGGTTGTCCCGTGGGGGACCCCCCGGCTGCTCCCACCTGGTGTCACCCGCAGGTCCACGGCCCCACCTGGATGCACCAGTCCTACCTCGTGCAGCCCACGGTGAGCCACGCCCCCGTGACACGCCCGGTGTCCTGTCTGGTGCCACGCCCTGCGCCACACCCAGTGCCACACCCGGTGTCATGCCTGGCGCCACACCCTGTGCCGTGCCCTGTGCCCCACCCAGTGCCCCACCCAATGCCACACCCAGTGCCACGCCCAGTACCACACCCAGTGCAGTATGCAGTGCCACGCCCAGTGCCACGCCCAGTACCACGCCCAGTGCCACGCCCAGTGCAGTATGCAGTGCCACGCCCAGTGCCACGCCCAGTACCACGCCCAGTGCCACGCCCAGTGCAGTATGCAGTGCCACGCCCAGTGCCACGCCCAGTACCACGCCCAGTGCCACGCCCAGTGCAGTATGCAGTGCCACGCCCAGTGCCACGCCCAGTACCACGCCCAGTGCAGTATGCAGTGCCACACCCAGTGCCACGCCCAGTACCACGCCCAGTGCAGTATGCAGTGCCACGCCCAGTGCCACGCCCAGTACCACACCCAGTGCCGTGCCCAGTGCCCTGCCTGATGCCATGTCCAGTGCCCACCCGGTGCCCCGCAATGTCACAACCAGTGCCACGCCCAGTGCCACGCCCTGGTGGGGGAGGGGTGGTGGGAGC